AATTGATGTGGGTTTAAAAAATGTTTGTATTATGAAAAGAAATCATATATATGAAAGTTGAATAACCATTTCCCTCTATGTGACACGTTGTATTGTGTTTTATTTGTAAAAAAAAATAACTTCACCCAAATCTCTTTCTCTTTCTCTCTGACGCTTAACTGTAAAGTCCATGGCTATGACTATCACCCTTCTACTTTCTCGTCAGTTTTTTTTTCTTACCACGTTCTGGCCTGTTAAACTTCCGCCACAACCATGAATCTCTTATATGATCAACAAGAGCCTAGCGATGCAGTGATAGAGAAAGCAAAACAACGCCATTGGTGAAATCGGCCATTAACTATGAACGTAATTTGATCGAAAAAATTATTCGCTGTCTTAGCCCCGTGACTCTACTCGCCCCAAACTTCATTACATCTTCGCCGATGAGTGTCACTTCTTGAAGCTCTTCTTTTGATTGGCAATTCCAAATTAGGTTTACAACTAATCAGAGATTCGTATATAGTACAAAGATAGGTCAGCCTTGATTGCTTTTGATGGTGTTAAGCAAGTTGGAAACTGAATCAACTCTCACCATGAATCTCAGTATCTACGAGACTATGATGTTAAGTCTTCAAGCTAAAGGACACATTCATTGTACAAAGATATTTTTTGGTTGAATAATAATTTTACTTTCATTAAAAAAAAATTCTATGGCACTAAAATCTATAAATACTTTCCTCTTACCATTTAAATATTTAGATATAGTGGAAACTATAAAAAATACAACAAATATATTTATCGAAAAAATCCAGCGCGTATGCGCGGGTACTCACCTAGTCAGAATGAAAACACAATACTGATGATGTATCAACACACAATTTTCTTCTCTTACCAAACGCTTTGCCCCAATCTCTATCTCTCTCTCTATTGCCCAATAATGGATTGAGCTTTGTCGTTGACGAAGAAAAATGAGGTAGATTAATGGTTTTGGAATCTACAACTACTATTGAGGAGTTAAAGACTATCGTCTCAGAGGATTACGAAATCGAGCAACGCCAAGTTAAGATCGAGTGCAGTTTTCTACCCGGTTATTTAATCAATAAGTTAGGATCTCCTCCAGTTATCATCTCAAATGATCGCCAAGTAAAAAAATTTGTTGGGTACGTAAAGAGAAACCATCGACACATCTATGTGTGACATTTAAACCTATTGTTGATTTGATTTGAATAAAGAGCACGAGAAATCAGAAGAAGTAGGTGGTATTAGGGCTGATAAAAACGTTGCAGTTAGGTTAACGGTGAACAAATCAGAAGAAGTATGTGGTGACGATGAAAACGATGACATATTTCATGTCAAAGGCAACGAGTTCGACTGCATTGTTGATTTGCACGAGAAAACGTGTTCATGTGGAAAGTACGATTTGGTTAAGATTCTTTGTTGACACGCCTTTAAAGCAGCATTATCTGTAGGAAGGGATATACATCCACTCGCTGATGAAAAGTACACGACTGTCGCATGGAGATCGGCTTATGAAGGATACATTAATCTAGTATTTGTTCCTGAGGATGCATGGCGTGTCCCACCGGACGTTGAACTTGCCCGAGTTTTACCACCGGAAACACGAAGAGTTGCGGGAAGGCGAAGAAAACGAAGATACGAAATAGTTGAAGATAAGATACGGTAGTCACAAGGATCACAACAATCTAAGAGGCGTAAGTGTAGTCGGTGTCATAATGAAGGTCACAACAAAACGAGATGTGATATGGCGATATAGAGATGGTTCCATTTGTTTCAGTTATGTTTTTATTCGAACTTTGAACGTAACATGTCGACAAGTAATTTGTTTCTTTAATACTTCTTCTTCATTTTAATGCTTTTAACGTTTTAGAAGTTTAGGGTATAGATTATGAAACAAAAAAGGTTTCGATATTTTTGAAACACAAAAGTTTAAGTTTCAATCATTTTAGAAGTTTAGGGTATAGATTATGGTGTCCAGCTCAGCCTAGGTGATGGTCGGATCGAGCCAACATTCATAATAAAATATGAAAAAACAGGGAGATCAGCCCAATCTGAAGGTAAGTGTATCGGGCTGATTCAATTAATACAACAAAGATGAAACAAATGTTTTCTCCTTATTCCTTACTATGTCATGTTACACAGGATACCAAAAATAAAACAATACAAGAAATTTCTTCTAAAACACATAATCAAAATCTCAAAAGAGAATATAGTATACGACAACGGGAGATAGGACTTCAAAGTCACATATGGTTGGAATGACTGACACTCCTACTATGTCAATCATCTCTACTGCTTCAAGGAATGTCCATCATCAGCATGTGAACTGCTCGTGTCTGTTGCATCTGATGCACTAGCTTAGTATCGTCTCCTGCTCGTGTGTCCTGCCCTGAAAAGTCTTCTTGGCAACTCTACATCAATAGGCAACAAAGCTTAAGGATACAAGATTTCTCAAATATCATAATACAGTAAGATAGCTCACAATATCTGGTTCAAAATTTTATCGTAGTCTCTAACCAAAAGCAAATATCTTTAGCTTTTCAAGATATATATACTTTAAATTAACACGAAGAATCAATGCAAATAAAATCATTAAGTTCCAGCTTTTGTTTTCATTTCCTAAGCAATCTTAGTAACGAATCAAAGAAGCATTTATCTTTGAACAAATCAATACGCTAAATACACATCCA